GGATGGGAAGGGAGGGGTGGGATGGGCAGCATGGGCAGGGATGGGAAGGGACGGGCAGGGACGGGTGGGATGGGCAGCGCGGGCAGGAACAGGCAGTGTGGGCAGGGACAGGCAGCCCAGGCAGGGACAGGCAGGATGGGCAGCACAGACAGGGACAGGCAGTGCAGGCAGGGATGGGCAGTGCAGGCAGGGACAGGCAGGGAAGGATGGAATGGGCAGGGATGGGCGTGGATGGGCAGGGACAGGCAGGGATGGGTGGGCTGGGCACCACGGGCAGGGACAGGCAGTGTGGGCAGGGATGAGCAGGGACGGGCAGCACGGGCAGTGTGGGCCGCACAGGCAGGGACGGGCAGGGAAGGGGGGGATGGGCAGCGTGGGCAGGGATGGGCAGCGCAGGCAGTGCAGGCGGGGACGGGCAGGGATGAGCAGGGACAGGCAGGATGGGCAGGGACAGGCAGCGCAGGTAGGGACAGGCAGGATGGGCAGCCCAGGCAGGGACGGGCAGAGCAGGCAGTGCAGACAGGGATGGGCAGGGACAGGCAGGATGGGCAGGGACAGGCAGCACAGGTAGGGACAGGCAGGACAGGCAGTGCAGGCAGGGATGGGCAGCGCAGGCAGGGACAGGGGGCGCCGCGCGCCGCATCCTGGCCGCCATCCTGCACCTGGTGAGACCCCCACCAGTATGGACCAGTTCAGACCAGCACAGCCCCGGGCAGGCCAGTGTGCCCCAGCCTGGGCGCCAGTACAGCCCCAACACACCAGTATGGCCCCAGGCAGACCAGTATGGCCCTAGGCAGACCAGTATGGCCCCATGCAGACCAGTACGGCCCCGTCCAAATACACGTGGTCCCACGCTACCCAGTACAGACCAGTGCAAAAAAGTAAAGACCAGTTGAAACCAGTACAGCCCCACAGAAACCAGTGCAAACCAGTACAGCCCAGCACAAACCAGCATAACCAGCGCAGCCCAGCACAGCCTGATGCAAACCAGTAGAGGCCAGTGTAAACCAGCATGGACCAATGCAAACCAGTGCGGTGCAGCAGAGGCCAGTGCAAACCAGTATGGCCCAATGCAAACCAGTATGGCCCAATGCAAACCAGTGTGGCCTAGCACAGTCCAGCAAAGCTCAGCTCAGACCAATACAAACCACTGTGACCCAATGCAAACCAGTATAGCCCAGCCCAGCCCAGTACAAACTAGCGCAGCCCTGTGTGTCCCAGCAGAGCCCATTACAAACTAGCGCAGCCCTGTATGGCCCAGCCCAGCCCAGTACAAACCAGTGCAGCCCTGTATGTCCCAGCCCAGCCCAATGCAAACCAGTGTAGCCCTGTATAGCCCAGCCCAGCCCAATACAAACCAGTGCAGCCCTGTATGGCCCAGCCCAGCCCAGTACAAACCAGTGCAGCCCTGTATGTCCCAGCCCTGCCCAGTACAAACCAGTGCAGCCCTGTATGTCCCAGCCCAGCCCAATGCAAACCAGTGTAGCCCTGTATAGCCCAGCCCAGCCCAGTACAAACCAGTGCAGCCCTGTATGTCCCAGCCCAGCCCAATGCAAACCAGTGTAGCCCTGTATAGCCCAGCCCAGCCCAGTACAAACCAGTGCAGCCCTGTATGTCCCAGCCCTGCCCAGTACAAACCAGTGCAGCCCTGTATGTCCCAGCCCAGCCCAATGCAAACCAGTGTAGCCCTGTATAGCCCAGCCCAGCCCAGTACAAACCAGTGCAGCCCTGTATGTCCCAGCCCAGCCCAATGCAAACCAGTGTAGCCCTGTATAGCCCAGCCCAGCCCAGTACAAACCAGTGCAGCCCTGTATGTCCCAGCCCTGCCCAGTACAAACCAGTGCAGCCCTGTATGTCCCAGCCCAGCCCAATGCAAACCAGTGTAGCCCTGTATAGCCCAGCCCAGCCCAGTACAAACCAGTGCAGCCCTGTATGTCCCAGCCCAGCCCAATGCAAACCAGTGTAGCCCTGTATAGCCCAGCCCAGCCCAGTACAAACCAGTGCAGCCCTGTATGTCCCAGCCCTGCCCAGTACAAACCAGTGCAGCCCTGTATGTCCCAGCCCAGCCCAATGCAAACCAGTGTAGCCCTGTATAGCCCAGCCCAGCCCAGTACAAACCAGTGCAGCCCTGTATGTCCCAGCCCAGCCCAATGCAAACCAGTGTAGCCCTGTATAGCCCAGCCCAGCCCAGTACAAACCAGTGCAGCCCTGTATGTCCCAGCCCTGCCCAGTACAAACCAGTGCAGCCCTGTATGTCCCAGCCCAGCCCAATGCAAACCAGTGTAGCCCTGTATAGCCCAGCCCAGCCCAGTACAAACCAGT